TGATGGTGGCCTGTAAACGAACTTATTTGACCCGAGGAAAGGAAATTCATTTATTTTGATGGTGCGAGTTTAAAGAAGTTTTCATGAATTTTATTTTTTGATAAAAATGTACACATTACATTTCGATGGTTCCCGAACACTTCTTAAATTCCTARARTGCAAGCCCTAAATTAGCTTTAATTGGTGATACCTTTAGATTCTAATCATGTGTAAAAATTATATTGTATGACAGATCGTTTGATCGTTTTATTTTCCTTTACCTAGATGATGATGCGATCAAAATATTTCATAAATGTATAATCATTAATCAGTGACTATACATCGTACATCATAACCTATACCCTGTAAATATTATAATTCAATATTTGTAATGGACAAAAACCTACGCAGGTCTAGGTAAAAGTTATAAAATGTTGTTGCAAGTTTGGACGAAATTCATAAAATGTTGTTTCGCGTCAATGCTGTATAGGCTCTGCAGCATGTGGTCAGTAAATCACAATTAACATTTTACAACGCTAACATTGTTGATATTAATATAATACGAGCACATATTATACTTGCCTATTATTCCTTCGACGACTTATTTACAATAATATTATTATGAAGTCTGATTTAGCAACTGTATATAGTTACTGTTGAGCGAAATAATAATTATTATTTAAGTACTTCAATTGTATAGTAATTTATATCAATCGTATCCATTCATTCTTCTATTGTGATAATAATATGACGTAGGTATTATATTATCATTTATCGTGTACAATAAACTCATGTGAGCTCTGCTCTGTAGCTTAATTCCTTGATCTAATATAATATGGTACGTTATTGGTACCTATTGTTATGTTTGTAATTTATGATGATGTGTTTAGAGAATAGTGTTGTGGATTCAAATTTTAATAACACTGATGATATAAAATTACCTCAATAAAATACATATATATATAGGTACCAATATATAAAATTAATAAATTAGAATAATACAGCAACGTTAATAATTTACAATAGATTAATACGACCATCGTTTGTCGATTATATAGAAAGTTTTATCTTATACTTAACATGAGTGTATAATTTTTTTTTTTAAATTCTCACCAGTATAAAATATTTTTTTCGCTGTTATATTATACATAAATACAGATGAATATTAAAGTAGATTTTTAGCAGTGTTACGTGCACGAAGATTGAGGGAGATACACTGTGATAAAATAAACATAAAACACAATTGATCCCCGATCACTGAATCCGTGTAAATTGATTGAAAGTCGATATTTTCAAATATAAATAATATAATATAAATATAGTAAAAATAGTAAGCGGATCGAGATCACAAACTCACGCTATATATACCTACAAATATTCGTCGTATTATTATATTATGAACAGAAAAAAAAAATATATATATATAAGACATAATAATTTTTTTTATTTGGTATTTAAAAATGTTATCTACGTCGTCACCACAGATGAGCTCAGTGCTCGGGTGGACTGGAATCGTGTTCTCGAGGCACCGATGTGTTAAAACGCAAATCGCATCATCATCGTTATTCGTGATAACAGCTATGTAACGATATTTGCCGTGTCGTGCGGTGCATACCTAATGTTCTTATATTATTATTAAAACAGAATATTTTATATGCATTATTATAGTTTAGCAGGGCTCGAGAGTTAAAAGAAAATATTTACTCATCGGAGCTTGAAAACAATATAAGCACCTTAAAACGCTAAAAGACGGCGGCGTGCTCAATAATAAAGCACAAGCATCAAAATATTATATGGTATATAATTATGCGAAATTCGATTTTTTTCCACGCAGCGTGTCTCTCTATAAGCTGTCGGTGAATATAAAATCATTTACATTAACAACAATAATGTATAAAATAATAATTTGATATTACTCAAAGTCATCAAAATGGCATATACCTAATATTAAAGTTCTTAAACGTGTGAAAAAAAGAACGTACGTAATTACAATCACCGTTCACATTATAATGGTGTGTAATGGATACCAAATAGATAAATTAGATTGTACTAAGACTTTCCTAGTGTATAATTTACAAAATATAGCAATAATAACAATCTGAGAGTAGTGATACGCACACAATGCGTAAATTTAATAGGTTCCTCTCATCTGTTTTAAGTTTGTTTGGGCTAAACAGTAAATGGTTAACTCCGATATGAAACCAATCTAGGGTACAAGATAATCTAAAAATGTTTTTTTTTTTTTTTATTAGATCAAATAGAATATTAATTACAATCTATAATTCATATATTATGTACAATGTACATACAATAAGTAAATTTGATAATATAAATAAACAATAACATGAATGGCGTGAGGAGGGAGGCCCACCAGTGTGGAAAGCCTCTAAAAATCTAAAAATGTTAAGTCCTAAAATGTTGACATTTTTACATTTGATTAAATTTACAAGAAAAAAAAAAATAAAAACGATATTTTAAATTCAATGAAATGAATAGAAACATTTGATATTATGATCAACAACCAACTATGATGAGGTATTATTTTTCAACATATAGTTTGATTTTTGATTAGYTTTAAAAGTGTTCTACTTATTGTTATAAAAATATATATTACTCTAAACGATATCGAAGCCAAACTGATCGAGTATTTTAAAAATAACGTTTAAATTAAATTGGTTTTCAGAAAAGCTGATCCATGATGTAGGTAGTTTGATATAGTATTAATATATAATAACATAGTAATGCACATAAAACTCAAACGTAGCAGAATATTATATTATATACGACGTAGGGAAGACTGTAAATAGCGATTTGCCGGTCACACTTTCGTGGAAATACGATGATAACTTTGACGGGAATTCGAACAAGGTTCGCCAATAAAATAACGGAAAGGGCGAATATATTTTAGTTACTACCTACTACCCTAGGTACTTTATATTATAACGTTCATGTAACAGAAATTGACRTTTCTCGCGAAAGGTTCACCTGAAATAGTATACCAATTATTTTATAAAAGCAAAGTGCTTTTCTAAACACTTTGATGTATTATGTATTATAGGTATGACGAGGAATGGGGTATACTACTCGGTAAACGTTTTATTCCACTGCACTCCTTTCATATAAATTCTAAATACTTATAAGTATACATTTCCTTTAATAATATCTGACATCAATGTTTTTTGTAAAAGTATTATACTTCCATCATATTATAAGTTAAAAACGTAGCGAGTAAAAAAAAAAAAAAACCTAGACGATCTTAAAATGAATTCAAAATATACATGGAACGGAATCAGACATTTATTTTTTGTTTGTAAGTATATTAGAAATACGAATACCTTTCAAATTATATAGAATGTGTAGCCAGTCATAATCGAATCACCTCTAATCACGCGAATTATTACTAGGGCTCGGATTTGGTAGCGAAATAAATCCTTAAAAAAGCATTTTATGTAGCCAAAAAGCAAAAAAAAAATAATTTATTAAAATAATTCTAAAAAACAAATTTCAATCACACATAAAATTAAATGATAAAAAAAGGAATTTACGACCATACTTTCTTTAAAAATCATTCTATTGGGTGCTAATGTATTTTTGTACATTGTACGTAAAAAAAGACCTTTCCACGTCAGCCGATGTAATCGGTGAATATTTCATATAAACTAAACCATTTGAATCATACTGTTCCACATTTACGTTTAGTGCTGTGCCATTATGAATACTATTGATTTTTAGAAGTTTTACCCACCCATTATTCTTTGTAAAAACACTATTGCTCTTTTCTAAAATCAATTTCGCATTGGCTTTTAAACTAAAAATAATTGTAGGTAAAACTATTTCAGCACAATAACCATATAGTTCATACATTAATTACTGTTTTTCTCACTGGTTTTATAATTTCTGGTAATAATAATATAGTTCAAGTATAATATTATACATATAGAAATAAGTTTAATTTTCAAGAAAAAAAAAAAAGGACCAAATAGGGGAAAAGCAATAAAAAGCTRGTTTTGTAGAAAAAATCAAAATTCAGTTTACTTCATTAAAATCGGAACGATTCAAAACGTATTTACATATAAGAATTGTCTTTCTATGACACTCTCCTAAAAAGAAGCATTTTCAGCTACAAAATCCGAGCCCCAGTTATTACTATATATAAATATATATAATTTATATGTTAAATGGTTTCTAGAGCAATGCAAGGTGATCGCGCATAGCTCCGTATTCTCTCTTTCTCTCTCTTGCGCACATATATGGTAAAAAATACTTAATATAATATATATATACTGATTTTATACAACCTATAACTATATACCTAAAATCTCTGTAAATACTACGCTATTGTTAATAATCATTATTCATTATACATAATCCGACTGCAGAAAACAACTGCATGCATACAACGCAGTATATAGCTGCACCGGTTCGTTGATCGTGTCGGATCATCTCTTCCGGCCTGCCAAGATCGCGGTGTTTAAGAKTCACGATAAATATAGCTTGTCCAATCAAATTAATGTGTTTCAAAGCCGTACACATTGATAGCAATAATAATGACATAACGACCCATGTCGGCGGCGGGGCCAAAGTCCTTTTCTCGTCATCGCGACAAGTCATCCGAAGGATTAACACGATTTTCGGTCGCTACCACTATAATATGTCATCACACTGCAGCTTCGCTCTTTCTCTCTCTCTCTCTCTCGTCTCCGTCCTAACGCGCTTTCGGTTTTTATGTTTATACATACGCGTGATAATAATATATAATCAMTAGGTGGATCATTTGTTCGTGACAGGGGTGGGAGTGAAAAAAAAAATTAAATCTTCGGAAAACCAAATACACCTGTGATATTATATACATATCAGATCGCCATTATAATATATATATATATATAGGAATAACGTTGTAGCGATTACTATTATTTTTAGCTGCAACTGGCCAACAATTGTCGGTGGTGGACGATCGCTTTTTTTTTTTTTACACAAACTAAAACGTCCGCTCATTAATGATTATTTTTGTCCCGTTTCAGATGAGGGTGCTGTGCCAGGAGTCGATCACCACGGAAGGAGGCGTGGTGGTGGGCAGCGGCGCCGGACCGACGGAGCTCTATCCGAACGGCGAGGAAGGTGTCGACGACGTGGGCAGAGAGAACTTGTTTGTGCTCAACGATACCAGGGAAGCTTTGTCTCACGACGGTAGCGAACACAATTCCGTAAGTGAACATTTAACATTTAACGTATATAACCACACCTAAGAGATGTAATAATAATAGATCATTATGAGGCACATAAAATATACGCAGTGTAATAAACCAGAAACAGAAATTCAAATCTCTTGCTAAATACAGCCATTATTATTGATTAAAATTTCTTTGTATTATTATGTCCGGACGGCCCAGTCTTAAAAAAAAAAATAAAAAAAAAAAAAAAGTGTATGCCATCATATTAGGCGGTAGCAAATGATTTAGTTTAGCATCGCTGGCGTGAAAAAAATAATTGGTTTCGCTGAAGTCGCCAAAGTAAAATCTCCCTGAAATGACACAGTTTTTCGGGTTGAAGTACGTTTTTGTTAATATGATATAATTTAATCAAATATAAAAATATACCTGGGATCAAATTAAGTCTGCGGAAAAACTTGCTTGGGATAATGGCTGGACTGAYGACAATAAATTTCAGGCCAATGGATTTATTATATTAGGTGAACTACTCGAACAAATTTTCGATTGGAAGACTAAGCTCATAAGATTATCCTGCGAAAACATCACTATAATAATAATTTTACCATCTAATTTAACTTTTAAGTATATATAAAATACCTACCTATCCTATTATTTTATTTATAATGGAAATAATTTACAACAAAGTAGGTCACAACYATTTTTTTTTATTTCTGTTTAATTTTTACAGCTATATAACATTACGTATTTTTCCTTTTTTTCATATCCCATAATATTCTAGATATTTATTTTTGTAAGCGAAATAGAAAAACGGCTAGTAGACAGTCATCGCTAACATCAAACAAAAAAAWATTTTTTTTATTATAATAATACATTTCCATCGCGCATTGTACATTATTGTTCATCCGACCAACCGTTAATTTACAATATATACAATATACATATATGGCATATATTATAGCATATATGGTAACTGATCGTTGCAGGCAATTAATTTTATACATACTATGGGGAACTGGCGAATTTTAGTTTACAGTTAATAAAAATATAATCGTTTTYGGGTTTCCTAGGGGGCGAAAATCAAAGCGAAATACAATATAATARCATTAAAATCATACACCACAAATGGATCGACGCAATATTCCGATAAAATTATTTGAATAATGGTGTGTTATGTTCTACGATCACTATTGGACAATAAAAATTTTATAAGGGCTACATACCGATTAAATAAATTTGAAAAAATAGATGCGCATTGCAAAAATATTAAAATAAATTATTATTAATGATTACAAATCGTTTTATTGTATAATATATTACTGTCGTGAAATCAATACATTTTAAAGTAATTCAAAATTTGTCCTTTTTGCACTTAATTAAAAACTAACTTTATAATAATAATTAATATTGAGAATTATTCTTTTTGTTAATACCAATCACACTTCTTAAAATGTCGTTTATATTATACATTTATACATGAGATTTTTTTAACTATTTGTTTAAAAATATTTTAAATTAACTTAAGTTTAATAAAGGTTTTTGCACTTTTTTATTACTCTGTCTGATATTAATTATTTGATTGTAGCTTCAGTTTCATAAAAAAAAAACTATAAATTTCATGTTACGTTTTCTAAAAATGTATATTAGGCCAACTTCCAACGAGAACCGCAGTTTATAACACCATTTAGTAAAAATTTTGCAATTTCAAACAAAAATTGTATTCTTAAAAATATGCAGTACAATATAATATACACAGTGGTACAGTTAAAACCAGGATGAGATAATTATATATATTTAATAAATAACGCCGAAGAACTTATACATATATACCTAATAATATCAAGTACTAAGAATATGCCTACTATTATAATATTATTATTATTTTTTTTTTTTTTATAAAAGAAATAACCCTCGGCAACTTGGCCATTGGGATAAAATACATATTTTTTTTTTTTTGAAAGGTGTTACATAATAATAAAGGAAAAGTTTAATAACAATAACAATAGATGCCTAAATTATTTGATAATAATAAGGTTGTGTTTTATTTTTTTTTAAATGATTTAATAAGTTTGTCCCCCTCCCCAGTCCTGTCTCGTGGAGAAACATGAATATGTCTGTTATTGCAGAAAAGGTCCTAGTATATCGTATAAATCACTGGATAGATTATTGCGATTTCTTGTATCGAGGTATGCTAGACATTCCGACATTCCGTGAGAATATGTTTAATAATTGTAAGTTCGACCCCGCACGTCATACACGGGGGGGGGGCTCTATTATTATATTATTGTCTAGACGTTAATACGATAACATAAAATAACAAATAGGTATCACTGGAATAAAAATAATAAAATAATATAATATAGTAACGTGTGGATTTTGCTTATCAATTAGTTATTATTCTTTGGAGCGACCCTTTACGAGTCGAGCTTAAAGTGCGTTCAGTCATTGATGTTTGGATAGGTACTTATATTTTTTTCTCATAGTCATTATTCAAAAACACAATATTATAAAGGTTATGTTGTTATTGCAATATTTTTGCCAACTATATAGTTTTTTCATACCCAATATACAAATTATAAATGGTTAATAACAATATGTTTAAGTAATTATTTTGATTACTCATCATCGTATTCGGTTCATTAATTTTTATTAAATATTATGCGTACACTTGGTTGGCGGTAACCCCGTTTTATTATAGAACCGCGCACCCGGGGAAAAATATTTTCTTTTTATGCGAATTTCTCGTATTTATTATTTACAAAAATGCAYACATAGGTTTGACAAATTTTTGCCCAACTCGTCAGATTTATTATGCACAATATAACGTATTAATGTAACGTATAATGCATAAATATAAAATATACCATTGAGATGCGATTYGAGGAAAATGGGTGGCAAAAAGGTCGTCCATTGTAATTTAGCAACCCACGAGAATTATAATAACTCGTTAATATAGTTGTTTCAACAACAACAAGCAACCCGTAGTAATAGTAAATGAGAAAAAAAAATTGCAAACGTACAATGCAGTGCATTCATGCACATGGCACACACTGCACACCCCTGCAGCGAGCTGATTGTACATGATGATTATTATGTCGTGCGCTAGGGAATATTTGAATAAATATATTCATCATTGGTTGATATAGTGGGCATCATCACTTCATCATAGAAATCCACAGTTAGTAAAAAGTTTTTGAAAATACATGTGCAAACTTTAACCCTGCGATCGATTGTATGATATATATATATATATAAAGGAGAATGGCAAAAAAACAGATAAGTATTTTATAAATAATTTTAACGTTCATAATCGTGAGGGCGTATGTATAACTACGTATATATAGGTACCACATGTACCTATACGATTTGGTCGCAATGATATGGGTCCAAGAGTGCTGCAAAGTTAAAAATAAGCCACGAGGGCATATTCAACCCACCCGTACTTGACATTTACAGACTAAACTTTTCTTTCATAAAACGAGGGTGGGAAATGCAATTTTTTTAAGGACGGTTCGATAGGCAATCGTTTTAAAATGCAATTTCATGTACCTATACTGCAGCTGCTATTGTTTGAGTGTACAATGCGTACTATGCATAATATATTATATTATTGTCATTGCGTTCAATAAAACTCAATATTTTGTACTTATAAGAAACTAATTTAGACAAATTTACATCTAACAGCTTGATAAATTAACGCCTTATTTGAACTATCTCTGTCATATTTTTTTAGGACATTGCGCAAATCAACTTTTGAACATAAT